TATAAAATCATGTAGAGTGTTTTCACTGCCCTAAAATCCTCTGTGCTTTGATTATTCATTTCTCCCTCCACTCTCTACCTCCTGACAACATCTTTCACTTCCATAGTTTTGCCTTTTCAATAATGTCATATAGTTGGAATCATGCAATATGTATACTTTTCATTGGCTTCTTTTACTTAGTAATATGCATCTAAGATTCTTCCATGTGTTCTATGGCTCGATAGCTCATTTCATTTCTTTCTTTTTTTTTTAATATTTTATTAAATTTTTACAGAAAGGAAGAGAGAGGGATAGAGAGTTAAAAACGTTGATGAGAGAGAAACATCAATCAACTGCCTCCTGCACACCTTCTACTGGTGATGTGCCCACAACCAAGGTACTTACCCTTGACTGGAATCGAACCTGGGATCTTTTTTTTTTTTTTTTTTAATATATTTTATTGACTTTTTACAGAGAGGAAGAGAGAGAGATAGAGAGCTAGAAACATCGATGAGAGAGAAACATCAACCAGCTGTCTCTTGCACACCCCCTACTGGGGATGTGCCCGCAACCAAGGTATATGCCCTTGAACGAATCGAATTCGGGACCTTTCAGTCCGCAGACGGATGCTCTACCACTGAGCCAAACTGGTTTCGGCAGAACCTGGGATCTTTTCATCTGCAGGCTGATGCTCTATCCACTGAGCCAAATCAGTCAGGACTCGATAGCTCATTTCTTTTTAGTGCTGGATAAATATTTCATTATCTGGATGGACCACAGTTTTAATTATCTGTTCACCCACTGAAGGATATTTTGGTTGCTTCCAAATATTGGCAATTATAAACAGAGCTGCATCTGAGTGCAGGTTTTGTGGGGACACAACTTTTCAACTCATTTGGGCAGATACCAAGGAGTGCAATTGCTGGATCATATGGTTAGAGTTTGTTTGGTTTTATAAGAAACCGAAGTGGCTGTGCTGTCTTTCAAAGTGGTTGTACCACGTTGCATTCCCACCAACAGTGAATGAGAGTCCCTATTGCTTCACATCTTCACCAGCATTTGGTTTTGTCAGGGTTTTGGATTTCATTCATTCTAACAAGGATATAATGGTATTTCATTTTAATGTACATTTCCCTAGTGACATATGATATGGAGCATCTTTTCCTATACTATTTGCCATCTTCTTTGGTGAAGTGTCTATTCAGCTCTCTGCTCATTTTTAAATTAGATTGTTCATTTTCTTATTGTTAAGTTTTAAGAGCTCTTTGTATATTTTCCCCCAGTCTGTGGCTTATCTTCTCATTCCCTTCACAGCTTTTAAAATACTGATATCCCAGGCCCTTCTCCAGAGCCACTTTCTCTAGGGGTGGAACCAGAAACCCTGAACTATAGAGATTCTCATGCAGGAAGTCCAAGGGCCAGGCATGGAAGCCTCTGGAAGGTAGAACTGGGGAGGTATCAGCAGGAATACAGATTAGCCTGAAAGGTAGTTTAGGGCCAGGTGAGGAGGAGGTGGTATTGAATTCCGTGCTAAGGAAGGTGGCATTCAAGGCCCTCCTTTTTATTATAATGTTCAATAAACATCTTAGGCTAGATTTTTATTCTAGGCATTCAAGGCCCTCCTTTCCATTGTCTGAGGATTCTGAGGGGGAAACCAAGGCATAATTCAACCTTTGTTTGAGGAAGAACATTCTGGACATAGTGTATAAAAAGTATTGAGGATATTGGAGATATTAGACCAGTTAAGAAATCATCAAAATATTCCTGCTGACTGGTGGTAAGTCCTTCAACAAGGACTGGGCAGTGGTGGAGAAATCAGTTCCATTCAGTTCAACACAAGTATTTTTTTTTTTTTTTTTCCTGGACTGAGCACAATGCCGGGTTTTAAGGATCCTGGGCTGAAATAAAATATTGTCCCTCATCCTCAAGGAACTCACAATATATCAAAGATTTATAAAAAATAATTAACTTGAGAAAAAGGGAACTGGTAATTAATTAGATAGTATCCCCTGCAAATTCACTTGTTGAATTTGACTGTAACTATTTGGGTATAGGGACGTCAGGGAGTAAAATTAAATAAAATCATAAGGATAAGGCCTTACTTCAATAGATTGGTGGCTTTATAAGGAAAGGAAGAGACACCAGAGGAAAGTGTCTGGTTTGCAGAAGAGAAAGGTCCCATGAGGACACAGCAACAAGGTGCCATCTGTAAGCCAGGAAGAGAGGTCTCACTAGAAATCAATTTTGCTAGCACCTTGATCTTGGACTTCCAGGCTCCAGAACTATGAGAAAATAAATGTCTGTTGTTTAGGCTACCTAGTCTGTGATATTTTGTTATGGCAGCTGGAGCAGACTAGTACAAGTCTTAAATTTTTATTTGTGGGGCGACATGGACAGTATTAGCCAGGCCATTCTTTGTCTATGTCTACAGCTCAGAGGAGACAACCTGGGCTGGTGTGAGCTTACACTAAAGACAAATCAAGTGCAGATAAAGTGAGAAGGCAGCCCAGAACTAAGCCTTAGAAATGTCAACATTTAAGAGTGATGGCTAGGGTTGGTAAGAACTGCTGCCTGGTTTTAATGTTGATGTGTTCTCCATCCTCTTCTTCATTCTCAGAAGTATGATGGGGGAGAGATTATAGGGTATCTGAAGTGAATTCTAGACCCACTGACAGAGCCATTTAGGTATGGAACTTATGGAGTTTGACATATTGTGAATTCATTTGTTCATTGATTATTTGCTAGCTTGCTTCAAATGATGAATTCTTGCATTATTATGATCGAAGGTTTTGCGTATTAGTGCTTTGTCTTCTTCTATTAGAATGAAAGCTCCTCGTAGTCAGGAGCTGAGTTTGAACACCTTTGCGTCTGCTCTTTATCCCTAGCACGAGCATACAGTATTTTAGATGATCATTTTTTTAAAGCTTTTGCAAGTTACAAGATAGTCAAAACAAGATACACTTTAAGAAATTACTATGTGCATTTTAAAGCACCAAAAGGGTACTGTAGTAGAAATCACAGTGTTTTAAAGACTCCAAAAATTAACAGCTTATTGGCAGTGGATCTCCTGATTCAAGAAATTTTTGGACACCAAACTAGATTTCATAAAATGAGTGTGAACAGTGGGAATCAGTGATGCACGGCTGTTGCCTGCAATACTATTTATGGCTCCCTGACACCTCTCGTATGGGGTTAAGTATTTACATTCAGCCTTGATTCTCCCCTCTGACTCTGCAGGCTACAGCCACCCTCTGGGAGCCCTAGGAAAGAGAGAAAACCTCTCTGTAGGGGTCCCAGGCAGAGGCAAATGGAGCTCCCCTCCCCCTCTTGCCTCTGAAGAGGGCTTGCCTTCTGGGAGTTTATGGCAGCCTGACCTCCAGCCTTTGGTTTGGCGAATCTGGCCGCTTCTGAACTACATAAAAAGGGCAAGTGCATTCATTATTGTTATATTATTATACAATGTATAATATATAATAGCGATTATGCTGTCAGGAGCCAGAGTCTCTGACCACAGATCAGAGGCTGGGGTGACATAAATCCACCTAGTGAAGTCTTTGGAGATTCTATGTGAAGGTGAGAGGATCCAGCTTCGTCTATAATGGAGAGTCTTAGCGAAGAGTTTCTTCTGCAAGCACCTCTGGAGTTTAAATTTGGGGGGGGGGGGGGACTGGGAGGATCTGGACAAACAGTATTTAGTATCTGGGATGCGATGCAAAAAAAGGTCACAATTGCCTCCTCTGAGCTGAGCCATAAAATGCTAATGGCTCAACCCCGCTGGTGATGGGGGCAGATGAGGAGTCGCCCAGCGGCCTGGGAAGAGGGAAGGGGCAGCGTTCAACCTCTGAGGTCAGATTCTTCTCTGAAAATCTGGCCAGCTTGGGTTTCACTCTCTGCTTCCCTGCTTCCATCCGTGTCTTTGTCTCGGCTTTACCCAGGCCCCCTGCCTGGCCTGAGGTCAGAGGATCAATGGCTGCCTGGCTGTGGCTGGAATGGCTCCTCTAAGGGGAGGGAGCCCAGAGCACATTTCAAGGAGGCAGAAAGGGTCTTTGAGGCCCTTTATGGGGGGGTGGGGGAGCCTACGTGCTGAGTTGTGAAGCAAGCAAGCCAGCATCTGTAGGTGCTGGGTGCCTGCGCCAACACTTAGTAGGGCTAGAATCTTCTGGAATGAAAGAAGGCCCATGCTCGCACTGGTTTTTCTCTTGGAAGGCATTTATATGAATGTCCTCCCCAGAGTAGATGAAGCCACCCCAGCAGGCCCTGGCTGAAACAGCCCAGCTGATCTCCCTTTATATTAGGCCAGCCCAACCCCCAGAACCTGGGACTTTTTAGGATGAAAACAGCGGTGCTCCAGTGCTGGGAACAGGCTTGTTTGGTATTTGCAAAGAGGTGATTTACTGATAAAGCCGCAGTACCCTTTTAGCTCTTCCTCTGCCCCACCCCATCACACAGTCTCCCCCTCTGGGAACCACAAGTCCCAGGAAGGCCGCAGTCTTAAGAATAGGAATAACTCACCAGAGTTTCATCAGAATACCTTTTCTGATGCTAGGGTAATGAAAATTATTCAAATGCAGTCATAAAAATGAGGCCAGCCTGGCAGGGATAGGGTGGGGGCGGGTGGGCTGGCAGAGTGAAGGTAGAGGTAAGGATTTCTTGCCAGTTTTGAGTTTTGTAATTTCTGAGTTTCCTTGGGGTCCGCCTCTCTGTCCGCTCAGCACAGGATGTCTCAGAACTCTTCCTGAGGAGGACTTGGCAGGGGGACAGGGCCAGTGTTCCCGAGGTTCTGGGGGTCCTCTGAGTCCCCACGTCCGAGGCAGCCCCGCAGCCTGAGGCTTTCTGTCCAGCGCTGTGCTGAGCCTGAGCGCCTGCCCGCAGGAGCAGGCCCGCGCCGCGCAGGGCGGGCGTCTCGGAAAAGCCTCCAGCAGAGGGAGACACTCGGGCGGCTCCTCTGCCTGGAAAGCGCCGGGCCCGAGCGGGTGGGGGTGTGGGGGTGGGGAGAGGGGGAGTGGGGAGAGGAGAGGTAGGGGGGGGGGGCGGGGGCGGGTCCCTGAGCGCTGACGTCCCGAGCAGTGCTGGGAAGTATAGGCTGTGTTGTCACGCCGGTGTCAGTCTGATGAAGATTGGCATCAGGTAAGCTGTCATTCATTTCCATGTCAGAGCGGCTTCTGCAGGCGGCGCGGCTGCGGGCGGCTGCCTCGGAGCGCGCGTGTTTTATTCCGGTCCCCAAGCCGGAGTATTATTCATTGCGACAGGGCGAGGAGGAGAGCGAGCGAGCGAGCGAGCGAGGGAGGCAGCGGGTGGAGAGAGGGAGGCGGCAGGGAGGAGGGAGCAGGGAGCGGGGAGGGAGCGCGCAGAGAGAAGCTGGGGAAGCGCCGGCGGACGCGGAGCGGGCGAGGCTGGGGAGGAGGCGGTCCAGCGTCCGGCCGCCCGGCACGCAGCCCCGCGGTGGCCGCTGCCTGGCCTTGGAGGGCAGGGGCCGGGCGAGCATTGTCCGCGCGGGAGGAGGACCGCGGGGCCTCGGGCCCCGTGGCGGCGGGCGGGGAGCTAGCTGTGCGGAGACTGGGAGCAGGGAGAGCGCGCTGGCCGGAGCCGGGTGCTGGCCGGTCGGGGTCGGGCGTTCCTCCGGCGAGGCCGGCACCAGGTTCTCTTTCTCCGGGCTCCGGGCGCCCTTCGGGCCGGCGCTGCTGGCGCCACCAACCCGGGGCCGCCTTTGAGCGGCTTGAAGCGGGATCAGCCTCGGACTCGGGGCCGGGCGACTGAAGTCCGAGCCACCGCCTGACTCGTGTGGCCTGGGCGAGCGGGCTTTGCGGGCGAATCCGGGGGACTTCGGAGCACGAGTCTGGAAACTGGAGTCCCCGAGGCCAGTTAGGGAACCCGGGCCCCGCGAGGAGCGATCATTTGTAGGGCTACGGGCTTTGGACTGATCGTTGGGAGACCTTGGTGAGGTGGTGGAGGCGTGGGGCCCACCGCGAGGTTGGAAGTTAGAGTCCTGGATCGAGTCTTCCAGGCGCGAGTTCGTAAAAGAGGGGGTGGAGAGCGGAGGGAGATGGGGCAGGGTCGGGAGTGTGCCGCGCGCAAAGTTTGCGTCTCTTTCGGGTGAGGTGTGCGGGCTTCCCCAGCTCCCCAACCCCGAGGAAGAAACGAGAGAATCGGGCTCCCCTTTCGGAGTCTCAGAGGAGCCTGCGCGGCAGGGAGACCCGGGCTCGGGGTGGGAGCGCGGCAGGGCTGGAAGTGGTGTGCATCAGCCCCGAATCAGGGCAGGGGTTCGGGCCGGGCTGGAGTTTGGATTGTAGGGTCCAGGCTCACTTTGGAAGCGCGAACGGGCCACTGAGTAGCTTAAGGGTGGAATCTGCACCGGTTGGGGGCCTGGAGTTACCCCCCCCCCCCCCCCCGAGGCTGGAGTCGGAGGAACGGGTGGTTTTGTTTGTTTGTTTTGTTTTTAGGATTTAGGCACGGGATCACGAATTTTTATCGGGGTTGAGGATATTGACATTTTGGGGGTGGTCGTACGCGCTGGTCTTCACTCTCCGTGGGTGGAAAAGCATGAACGCAGGCGATGAAAGTAGTTGGTCCGAGTCATGGCAGGCGATCCCCGAGTTTCTGCTGCTTCTCCCGGAAAGAGCATCTCGAAGAGAGGATTCGAGGCGCCCAGGACCCGGTCTTAGGAGGAAGATTCCGGGAAGCGGACATATCCATGGGACATTCTGGGTGAATCGACAGGGCAAGCTCAGGGATCGAGGTGGATCCTAGGACAGTGGCGGCGCCTCGGGCTCTAGGAGTCACCCCTGGTCTTCCGGCGCAGCACAGCCAGGGGGCCGGTTCAGGTCGCCCGCAGGGGCCGAGGCCTGCCCCGGGGGCCAACAGCAAGGTGCCGCATCGCCACGGGTTGTCTGGGCTGCAGCCCGAGGGCAGGGAGGACTCCTCTCCAGCGCCCGGATTTGAGTTGCGGGCCCTGGACCCGCAGGCGCTGCCTGCGCTGCTCGCGGCCCGGCCCGGAAGCACACGCGCGGGCCCGCGGAGGCGATGTTATGCCTGGGAAACGGGGAGTTCGGGGTCCCATACCCTCACCCTCTCGTTCCCGGACTTCTCCAGCGCGTTAACTTCTCGGACAGCAAATGCTGTCCAACTGGTGGAAGACAAAAGCTTCGTATTGTAGACAGATTTAGATGACTCCCCCTCCCCCAAACTGAGAAAAGGATGGTGTTCAAACACGAAAAGATAAATGACTCTAAGCCTAACCCCAAAGACCTCCGGCTTATTCTGCCATTCTGGCCTTCGGCGAGGCCTGGGGCCTTGGGGAAGGGTGGGGACTCGTGTTTTGGACTCTGGATCTTTCACTGAAGCTGCACCGGGACCTAGGCTCTGGCCTAGCTCTAGGGAGAGAGAAGTCCGGACTCGGAGGGAGACTATCCCTCTGGCCAACTAGGGAAGCAGTATGTAGGGCGGTGCACAGGAGGGAGGGTTGAAATTTCCTCCTCGCAATCTTGAGCTCACCTCCCAGCCCTCATACCCCTCTCTGGGGGCTGCCAGATCGCGCTTCTGGGGCACAGGAGACGCTAGACCCACGAGTGGCCTCGGCCGCCCGGGCGCTGTGAGCCGCGCTCCGCGCTGTTGTTCTGCGGGCTTGGAATTCTTGCACTCTCTCCCGCCCAGAGACTGCGTGCAGGAGGGAGCCGTGACCCCACAGAGACTCCGGGTCTCCGCCTCTCCTTTGTGAGCTCCGGAGGCATGAAAGGCGAGAGAGAGAAAGAGAAGCTGCTCAGAATAAGGGGCAGGGGGTGACTGTAGGGAGATGGGCCGGCCACGGCTGGCTCCCAGTAAAATGCCTCGTGCAAATTGCACTGAAGTGTACGGGACTCGAGACTGGCTGTTTTATGATCCTTTCTGGGAGTTTACTGCTCTCTGCTTTTAAGTCTATAGATTGCTTTAAGTTAATGAAAGTGCTGCTTTCAAAAGGAGCTTTTATTGTGGGGCCATGATGAGTCCGGTCCCGCCCCTTTACTCTTCCAAAATGGGCCTGTTTAAAAAGAGAGACTCCTGGAGTTCCCACAGGGACAGAACGGAGCTGGGGCAGGGCGCCATGTGACAACGAGGGTGAATAAAAAGCAATGTCCAAGTAATTCAGAAAGAAGAGTTTCCTTCTTTTCCCGTCCAGTGTCCTCTACACATTCCCACCTCGTCTTTCGGACTTTCCCTGAGCCGGACTTCAGATGTTGCTCTTGGTCCCTCCCCCATAAACCCCTTCTCAACATTGCTTTATTTAGACCTGACCCAATTCAATTAAACTCGAACTGGATTTCAGAATTTCTACCGGCTGCCAAATCAAACTGCAGCTAAAATATTGGGGACTGGGGGAGGGGCTCTGCCTTGCCTTCAGTAAGTAAGACGCGCTAAAACGTCATGAAGAAAAGTCTGGAAACCTCGAGAAGGAACACGCAAAGCTATTGTTTCAGCACTTTCCCCTTTTCCAATCTACTTGGCACAAAAGGTGAGATGACAAGGTTTTCGACGAGGTCCTAACACAGAAACTGCAGCGGGGCCGGGCTGTGGCTTTGACCGCATGTCATAACCATTTAAACTGTGGTTAGTTGTTCAAAGCTCCTCCAAGCTGGGTTTCATTAACTCTACACCAGTTGCCTGGAAGTTCAGTAGCAATAAATTGTATAAACACATTTGAAGTAAGTTAGTGATGAAATAAGGAGAATTACTGTCTTGCGAGTGGAGAATCCCAAATTCATGGAGTACTAGCTTAACTGGAAACATACCTCCTCTCCCTTGGCCTTGATGTTTATGGGTGTACCGGAGTGTGTGTTAAATTTCTTTCTGCCATGTCCATCTTCAACGCGAGGCTGTAACTCATTAAAGACCAAGGCATGCCTAGAAAGCAAAAAAGGCCGAGTTTTAAAGCAGCTTCTATGAGCCTGGCTGAGAAAGCAAACCAAACCCATCAACCTGACTTCCTTACGCCGGGTGAATGCAACACGCACCATGAACAGCAGCAGAGCAGGCCAAATTAGATTTTTAAATGTTAGCAGCTTAATAATACTGTGTTGTTAGCAATTGAATTTGTTTTTATTAAAGAAACAACCTATAAAATTTATAGGCTCCCAACATGTTGCAAGATTTCCACGCTATTTATTTAGCGCGCACCCTTCCCCCCTTGCCATTCTATCTCCAATTTCAGACTTTTGTTCCCGATTTATTTAATGTGGAGCACATTTTCTAAATTAGTTTGAGGAAGGTGAGAAATGCTGTTCTAAGTTTTCCTTTCCCTATATACTGTGTGGCACAAGGCCTGCGATGCCGAGATATATATAAACGTGTGATGCAATTGCTAGAGGTGACGGCATGGGAACCAGAGTGTCTGATCAAACAGAATGCAGATCAGGGTTATGGAGAGGGAGAAAAATGAATCCTCTCGAGCCACCGTTAGCCTTGATTATAGCCAGCACGCCACACTTTGCATAAAACACTTCACGGGAGATTCATGACTTACTGAAGATTGAATTCTACGGAGAAGCAGAATTTAGAGGGAGGAGCCGCGCTGGCTGGGTTCTGGCCAGGCTGCTTGGCCAGCTTGTTGCAATGGGGATCTGCTAATTTAATTAGATCTAATACCTGGTGGGAATGGAGGAAGGAGATAATCAAGGTTGGCGGGTCAGCGTGCTGAGCTAAGTGTTTAGGCTGAAATTTGGGGGCCGGGCAGCTTTATCCCTCCCGTTACTGTCTGGCTGCAGGACTCCAGCGGGTCATTTAACTTCTGGATCTTGGTTTCCCCATCTGTAAGATGAGTGCATCACACACACTGCTCCCGAGGCTCCCAAGTGAATCCTTCAGGGATCCTACTGGGTGCGCTCCAATAACAAAGGGAACATGAGGGAAGGCTTCTGAGCAGCAGTCACAATCCTCCGTGTGTTTTCTTTTCCCTGTTTGGCTCCACAGCCTTTCCTCATAACTCTCAGGAGTCCCAAGACTTGGGTGAAAGGGTTGACCTCCCGCCTTTCCTTACATCCTAGAATTTGGAAACCCCGCTGTGATCCCAAAAACCACCTGCACTTCATCAGGAGGGACAATTAAGCTGCCGCACTGGGGGAACTGGAATGCTTGTTCCCCACGGTGCTACCTGGAAT